TTTTTTTTTTTTAATGTTTTCATTGTGTTCTGTGATACAATGTAATGCGATACGAAGTTCTAAAGAAACAGATGCATTACAAATAACGTCCAGTTGCGATATGTCTCTTATTTTTGCAACTATGTCTTGTGGAATGATGAAAATCATTTGAATACTTTTCAACAACAAAAGAAAAATTTTATGCATTTGTATATAATTGTATCTCAAGGTCAATTTTGCAGCAGTTTCTTTTTATAAAAACTCTACTTATCCAAAGATTTGTGTTGGTCGTGATATATAATTTTTAATCACTTTTTACATAGAATCCATGTGACGCGAATGGGAATTCAAAATTGAACGTGAAAAATTGGCTTGACTCACCCAGTAATTTTGAATAATGCAGAGAAATAGTGTGCAAAAATAATAACAGATAATTCTGTACAGCTGATAGACATCATTCCAACAGCAGTAATGAACGCTGCGTTTAAACAGATGATATCAGATATACTGTACCCCAAAAGCAAACTCCAATCATTAGAAAGATCGATGAAGTAACTCATACAACGAATTTGAAATTTGTTCTGAGCCATTACGAAGTTCAATATTATTGAAGTTAACAAACATGCTATAACAAGTATAATTGCAATACAACAAAAACCTAAAATTTAAGAAGTATGATTAATAAACAATTAATAAACATGAGACAATTTCAGAATGTGTATGAAAAAATTGATCTTGTATATTATTATATATTTTTGTATACTCTTTATAACCTATTAATTTATCTCTTTTCTATATCGTAGCTCGTTAAAATAAAATAAATTAAATTAAAGACAAGTCAAACTATTATACCCTATTACTTGTATAATGTAATCTATATTCTTACTGGATTAGCATCGTTTACACAATTACGCGACATTTTACACGTTCTTAGTAAAATTAAAGAAAGAGATTCAATAATAAATATTATTAATTATTAAAAAATATTCATACACCTTATTGGTCATCAAATGTAAAACATACAGAGCATTTCTCACGTATCAAAACATTAGATTTTTTCTTCCCCCTCAAATCCCCCATTTGCTTTTATTACAGTATGTGTTTTTTCTATCTAATTCTGAACACTATTTTGTCTATATTCTCTCCTATTTTTTCCTCATAAAATAAAACCAACAACACACACTGATGGATAAAAACTAAAATTTTTTTTTATCGCTTATATTTTGCAATCCATAATCCGCATTTTAGACTAATTAATATACAGTAAAGATCATAACTAAACTGATAATGATAAAAAATTGTTGATAATTTCTAAATACAACTACATAACATTCCACTTGACATAAAGCATACAATTTGTACATTAAGTACATTAGTCTTGAGTTTGTTTTGAGTTTTACAAAATTTGTAAAAATTCAAATATCTCTAAAA